CTAAAGTGCGTTCATTTTATTCTGCAAATGTCTTTGTTTTTGCATTGTTCAAATTAATATCATTTGATGGATGCCGATGAATTTTATTCTGATTGGGAAATCACCCCATTTTATTCACTGACCAATCAGATCCGCCTTTCATCCAAATATACTCGTCTATCTGAACATTCAATTCTGCTTTCACTCTAGATTTCAAATAGCTGAATGCTGCTCAACAAATGAACTAAAACATAATTCAGTTTGGAGGTTTGTGGGGTTTTATTCATTGATTTCAGGTTAGTATTCATTACACAGTGACATCAGCTGGGGGGACACTGGAAACCTAGGGGGACTTGACAGCTATTTCGTCCTAGTACGGGACTCCTCAGCAGTGTGCACCCACACCCCACCAGGGATCAAACGAAGAACCTTCAGGTTCCACGGCCATCACATTACCATTGAGCCACTAGATCGGAATCCAACGGCCTATGGTGGGGTCATGGGTGGCCACTGATGAAGAGTCCCAAGCTACGACGAAACAACAGCCCAGTGATCCCAGGTTTCCAATATTTCTCCAGCTGATGTCAACTCGTGATGAATACCAACCTTAAATATAATCGTAAAACAGATCAGAAATGATGGGGCTATCTTCTCAGACGAAACAGCTGTTCAGTGTTTCGGGGTTTTCCATGGTTCTTCAACTGATTACAGATCTTAGAGACAATGTTAACTTTTTCCTAGTTCACCCTACTTCTTAATGTCATGAAAGAAATATTTGTATTGATTAATCCCTAATGTGATCTTTCATTTTTGTATTTGTGATTTTTATGAAACATTTGGTTACCATTTCGTCATATATGGAAATCCATTTAGAAACCTACCACAGACTTGGCTAATTTTATCTATATCCACTATTGTAACCACTTATCTGCATTTGTCTAACCGTATTGTTTCCCTCAATTATTTACAATATACATACTCCTACTGTTCCATACATTATCCGTTCATTTCTATTACATATACTTATAGTGTATGTATGTGTGTCCACTTATAATTTTGATTAACTTATCCTAGATAAAAATACACAGCTTTGTTATTCATATTTATCTCAGTGTGCACGTTATATTATTATTTCAAGGTGAATGAGGAATGTGAACGAAAATGTGTGCACAACCGTGAATAAAGTGACTTTTAAAGGATCCACTCCATTTCACTTCATATTTTGTTTCATTTTTAGAAAAATATGTGGTATCCATAGGCGACTAATCTCCAATCCTGTATTTAAAAGTAACAATTAATGGAATGTATACAAACAGATGTAACTGAGACAAAAAGGAAAAAAAAATTCTTTTTTCACAACAGTATACGCTTGCACAAAAGCACCACCATATACACAAAGATTTATGATAAGTAGAGTGGGAGAATGACGGGTTGGGAAGTAGGATGAGAAAACCAGTACACCAGTTTACAATCCTTTAACTTTGGAATCTAATTAGTTTCCTATTTGCAAAAGTAAACGTTGTAACACTTATCTCCTTAGCATGAACATGTTTGACGGCGTCACGTTGTTGAATACATATGTGTGTGTATGTGTTTGTATGTTCGGGTTTGTCAGTGTACACAAACTGATACAAACACCACAGTTGTTAACATCAGTTCATTTTGCCAAGTTATCAGAGTAAGTAAATGTGCAAAAACAACTGACTTATGTATTTAAATGGATATATTGATAGCCAGATACAAAGAAACACGGGTGTGTACTGCTGAGGAGTCGCATACTAGGACGAATCAGCTGTTCAGCCCTCTTTGATTTTCAGTGATTCTTCAACTGATATCAGTTCGTGATGACTACTACCTTAAGCAACCTGATCGTTGAATAACTAATTGTCTTATGAACTTAAAGGGGAATATAAAAAATAATCCTCTATAGATAGAAAATGAATGCGATCGGAGAGAAGGCACACTGTTGACAATTCCCCCAGTAACACCAATGACACAAATAACGGAGACTATAATTAGAAGAAAGGATAAGTTGCTGTTGTCGTTCAACACTTTCGACAACATTGAAAAATCTTACTTGGAGTTTAGACAAAAACGTGTCTAAGGGTGAGAATATAAAAACGCCTACATTGTTTATTTACTTATGACAGTGTTTGAAAAAGGTTAATATTTAGCCGAAATTTATTTATTTATTGCTTTCATTTTCACTATTTTTGTTGCCAAGCCATTTAATTGGTTTTCAAAACAATCGATAAGGTCTTTTTATTTAAATTCTCTCTACACTAACAATTGACAATAAAATGATTATTAACGATGAATCCTTTGTCATGATGATAAATTATAATCAAATTTCAAATATATTTCATTTGTCTTGTTGATAAAATGAATGAACTGAAAATCTCATGAAAAATTGTAGTTTTTGCTGAAGTTTAGTTTGAGAGTAATTGTCACAATTATCAGAGATGGTGAGCTTTCCCAGGTGTTATGAACCTTAAGCTTTCAAAATTTTTCTCCTTTCACATAAATATTTAATGAAAGCTGGACAGTAGGTGACTAACTGAACATATTCACGTTTAGATAGGAATATGAATACTACGTGAGTACTGAAATATACATTAATCATCGTGAAAACCGCTACTTTTCTAATTACACTGCTGATCATAATCATGGTGATATTTTGTCATGAAACAAAGATGTAATACTGATATATCTTATTTATTTTTGAGATGAATGGGGATTTTTAATTTACTAGTAGTATTCATCATGGACTGACTGATATCAGTTGGGGAACCATTGAAAATCTAGGAGCACTGGATAGCTGTTTCGTCCTAGTATGGGACTCCTCAGCAGTAGGCACCACCGATCCGGCTAGGGGTGGAACTCAGGACCTTCAGGTTTCATGGCGAACGCCTTAACCATTCAGCCACTGGGTCGGTTTCCAGTGGTTCACAATCTCCAACTTCTGTTAATTCACGGCATAGCGTACTGCTGAGGAGTCCCATACTAGGACAAAACAGCTGTCCAGTGCTCCCAGATTTGCAATGGTTCTCCAACTGATGTCAGTGCATGATATATCTTGTGTTATCGCAATTTAATTCTAGAAGATTCATCACACTGTTATAGACATATAAGACTATAAACATTCTTGTCTGAATGTAACAAAAGTTCTTAAATCCTGAGAAATCATATCTTAGCTAACTGACTGGCTTGTAAAGATATTGTGTAAGAAGTAGGTCATAAAGCATAACACATATGAGAATATACCTTGGCTTGGCCCAGCATCATGTATGGGGCAGTGCCTGAGATTGCTGATCATTAGTTTTGTTCCTCTGACACTTGTAATTTCCCGTTGATGCACTGGGTTGAACTGGTCGATCTCCTTTGACAGATGGGCTGTTGTAGGGATTTCTGAATACTGCTTCATTACTCAGAGTGTCAGTGTCTTTTAGGTGGCTAGTAGTGGAATCTAGGATGCACGTTTCTTCCTATTTAAGAGAGAAGTATTTAAGAGAAGTATCAAAACAACAACTGATACTCGTTGCGCAACAGGTGGTTGTCGTCCCCAGTTTTTCAGTAGATAACGCTTTAGCATTTGAAGCAATAGGTACCAGTTTCGAGTCTCAGTGGAAACAACACTCCCTGCAGTGCAGGTGCATTCAGCCGACCGGTCTGGAATAAGAGAAACATGCTTCCTGGATTCTACTGCTAAGCACCAAGCGAACATCAAGACTAGCGTTTCCGTCTACTTTCTACTAGCACCTCTTTTATTATTTCTTTCATTTAACCAAAGAATAATTTTTATATCTGCTGTTGTCAAGATCTGTCCAAATAAACTGCTTACGATAACACACTACCCAGTAAAGTTTGTTTATCTGGAGAAAGGTGAACATATGTACAGACCACAATGCATACCAATGAATAATTCAGTAAGACAGGTTCACCAGTTGAAATACTTGTGGTAAATGGAAGAAGCGAAAAAACCTCTGACTTATCAAGAAATAACTTTTAGGCTGTTTGCGGGTATTTATTTATTGATTTTGAGCTGGTATTCATTGTAGACTGATAACAGTGATGAATACCAACCTGAAATCAACAAACAAATCCCCACAAACCTCAAAACTGAGTTAACCTAGTGCTCATTAGTGACTTAATTCGTGATGAGAATCCTGAAGTTCTACAGAGAAGTCGTGACCAGTAGAGCCAAGCAAGCTGAAATTAAAGCCATTTACTGAACTATGGAATCAAATGGAGGTCAGGCTTTATCGTGAACTGACAGAATTAGAAAATGTGGACTTCTGAATTCAGACCCAATGACTTAATGATAACATGCTGCACACAGGATATGGAGGTCTTGGCTCCGCTCCCTGTTGGGGTCGTAGATGCACAGTTCTTAGAAGTCTCATAGTGGGACGAAACAGCTGCTCAGTACTCCCAAGTTTCCAGTGATTCTCTAGCCGATATCAGTTAGTAATGAATACTAACCTGAGATGAATTTTCGCGAGGAGATGCACTAATCGACTTCAAGTTAGAAAACAACATGCTCTGGCTAGCTGATAAAGTTAATTAACCTTAGAGCCTTTTTCATATTCCAACATAATGATAGGATAATGATGGTGAGATTATCTGAGCACAATGCAGCAATTTGTGTCTATCTAAAATAGAACGTTGTATGATGCTATAAGATGCCTAAGATGTCAGGAATGGATTCACAAGTTTTGAATTAAATATTTCCAATGCCTTACTTTAATTAAATCCTAAGAATGACATTGGTTAGGTAGATAAACAGAATTTATGATCGAATTAAAAGAGAAAGGCGGTAGTGTTCAACTTTCAATATTCACTGTGATTACATCAACTTATAATCAACACTATCTGTCAATGCAAACTTTAAAAATTTATCAGAAAAACTACAAGTAATATGAACAAAGATTCACTGAATTTTCCTGTTAATTTAGATTCTTAAACGAAAACCATACTATATTTAAACTTTAAGCCTATGTTTTATATGAACAGATACTTACAATTTTTCTGTATACAATGGAATATTTGAAGGAATAGATGTCAGGCGACTACTTTTACACTCCACCTCAGCAAAATTACATTTACATTCAGTTGGACATGTGAAATTTGCATAATTATAGGCTTTAGCAAATCTTGTTTGAATTTTATCATTATTATTATTATTATTATTATTACTATTTCTGTGGAAAGGATATCTTTGTGGACGTTGACGCTTCAACTGAAGGGTTTGTCGACTGCTTTCTCGTCTAAATTTTGGTTTATTATGATTATTTATGGTAAGAAATGAAGTAGTCTTTTGTGCAGGCACCCTGTCATTTGTTTTCGGTTGGAGAAAATGCAATAGACTAATGTGTTTTGGTAAAGCCGCCCAAATTTTGTTTTTTGATTTAGATGAAGTCAATAATTCATTATGATTATTGTTATTATTATCATTATTTTTATCATGAATATTAGTTGTAGTAGTATTCCAGTAAACATCAGCTGGTGAGATGGTGAAAGTGTCATCAACTGTTTTTTGCTCTGATAAAATTAATCCTGTAGTAAACAGATGGGTTGAAATTATCTGTAGATCAAAAGCCAGTCCAAAAGTAACTATGATTACTAATAACATACCATTAGGAATATTCCAAGTGAAAAAATGCATTTCATATACCTAGGTAATGTGTGGAATTTTTTGATTTACATAAAATTTTTCAGTGAAATATTTCTTCGTTGTTTCACGTATTGAAGCATTTGAATCTGTTACTGAGTACGTTTGCAATGAGAATATACATTGTCATCCAATATTTGCGCTAATGACGTACATTGCATTAATGTGTTACAACTAATTTTTACATTTTTCCATAAGAAATCAGTAGAGTATTAGAATCGTGCTGGTGATTGGTTAATTTATTTGAAATGATGTTAGTCAAGCTAACCAATCAGAAGTGAATAAACAAATGATTGGTTAGTCATCTATTTTATGCCTTCATACCAATATCATTTGGATGATTGAAGATGAAATATATGAATCGCAGGCGAATTCTAACCAGCGATCACCAGGTTTGTGGTCCGGTGCTCTACCTACTGACCTACAAGCCCCAACTGCTGGCCAAATTTTTATTTCACTTCAGTTACCAAAAGTTTGCCCGACTATCATGTAAATTCGTGAAGCGTTACTGCCGCTTCATCGTACTCACACTGGCTACCCAGTTAGGAATTCTCATCCTAATTAAATAGGCTAATTATGTGAAAAAATCGCCGTTCAATACTATTAGTGTATGAAACCCCCAGGAAAAATCATTCCATGTATAATTTTTTTCCAGTACGTAGTAAAATACAAGACTACAAGGTACTGAGTTCCATAAACAGAAAATTAACTTTTAAGAATTCTTCTGATAAAATGTACTACTGAACAGCCTTAGTAAATAAAAACCACTCACTAATGATCTGTAGATTTCGCCAGTAATTCAGCTAATCAGATTTGGGTGATCTGAACAATTCATCTCAACCAGCTGGTGCTTAGATCACGCTGATCTACAGATAAATATGATTCCTTCCTAAGTACTTATTTTGTTCAGTAGTATGTTTCATCAGTTCATGACACTTTCATGTCAGAGATCACACCTTGTGATCTTTGCTGCAGAATGGTTTTTTAATGGAAACTCTGTTGGCACTACAGTTGGTCAGTTGAGAAACTACTAACCTGTGATAAATGTTAGCGTGGACTATGCGATTTGTAAATCATTTGCAAACTGGTCATTTTGTTTAAAGAATTCTTTTACAATAACAATAGAGATTAATATTAGAGTAGAATTTAGACATTGTGGTCGACTGTAATTCTGATGGACAGACTAGAATGGATCCAACAGAGATATTATCATAAAGAACTGTAGAAGATTCAGGGACAGTAAAAGAAAGTTCTAGCCTCTTCCTTCTACCCTTTATTAGATAAATTCCGCACATCTTCAGTAACTTGATGAAACGAGAGTTTGCCAGGCTGTTAGTTGTAACAGATATATTTATAGACAACTAGAAAGGTATTACCACAGAGGAGAAGCTGTGGTCTATGCAACGAAGCTCTCAGGAAAATCTTGTTTTGACTTTCTAAGTATGCTGAGATCATAATAAAACATACTTTTTATAGCATTCAACCCTACTCGTAAGGTGTGGTGAAGATATATGGATGAGACATTGTCGAAGGTGAAACACACTGACACATTTTTACTCACATAAACTCAATAGTTGGTGCATTCTAGTTTACACAAGAACTAGAATATATTGAAAGAGAACTAGCTATGCCGGATGACAAAATCAAACGACAGTAAAGCTGATGTTTAGAAAATGGTATCTGCAGAAAGCTTTAACAATTCAATCGGCACTCCGACCTTAGGTAATCTCATTCGATGTCGCTTGTGACAAGCTTGGTTAAATACTTAAGTAACAAGGTACAAAGACTGGCGGGAAATTTATGTCATGAAATGCAACAAGTAAAGGATCTATAATCACTGTACACCTTGCTCTGTGAGTTAATTCATAGACACCTCATAGAGTAGTGGAAAAATTCCTCGGATAAGACAACTCCAGTCGCAAACAGCACTATTAATAAAACTATAGAGAAGGATTTTTTTAACCACTGTGTTATTACCACATGAACAAGAGACATCACGAGTTCTACGTGGGATTCTTAATAATAGAGAGACGCTTTAAACTAAAAACTGAATTACAGACAAAATTTGTCAGCTTAAGGATCCCATTAAGCCAATCAAACAAAACAACTACTCTACTAAATTCTATGTAATGCCTCTGATGTCAGATACATTGGTCACACAGGCCAAACTAGGTCAATTAAGTTGGCAGAGCGTAGGGTCTTAGCTGATTGACGAACAGCAGACACTAATAGGATAAGGAATCTAGAAACAAGTTCCGCCATAACTCTACATGCAATAAGATGGAATAGGGTAATGTGTGTTGCAAAACTTCGCTAGTATGAAATTTATTCATCTTTTCCACTTTCTTCTCTAAACAAGCTTGTCAAAGCAGAACAAATTACAAGAGTAACAGTGAATGAAATACAGTAGATCTGATCTTCCATATTTCCATAGCAGATCAAAAATGCATAATTATAACATTCCTTTACAACCAACTGTCCCCCTCTTAGGGACTCCAGCACGAAACCTGTTGAAAGAACTTCATGGAAAACTGAATCATGGGCCACTCTTTCAAATCTACAACACGCTTTCATAATCATATCAGGAATATTCATTCTGAAAGCAACAAGAAGATGGTGTCCTTGGACGTAACGGCTTTACGCATTTCAACTGAACTAAAATTAGCTAAGGATAGAGTCTTTCTTCTCCTTCCCAGTGATACACAGCTCATACAAATATAATATTCAGGTTTGACAGAGTTAGTCGACTTACGCCTTGCAACATATTTCCAATCCAATGACAAGCTTTTTCGACAGACAAAACAACAGCAATGAATGCGACTGCCTAGATTGAAACCGATCATACAGCCAGTTGTGTAAAGATTGGAAACTGTTTTCTTATCGTTGACAAAACTGAAGTTTTCGACCCTGTTTTACATAAGACATCTATCATCGCTAAAATAAATGAAATGAAAAAACACTTGAAAACTAGTCAACAAAGGTCTTGACGATATCAAATTAGCAATCGAAGAGGAAGTGATGAGACAGAAAACGTGCAGTTCTAGATGTCCTGACCATCAGGACCAATTTGGGAAAATTGGAAACTCAAGCATACAGCAAGCCAACCCACAGTGATTCGATCCCCAACTGCGGTAAAATAATCCAATAAGATGCTAAATCAGTTAGGTAAAAACACTTTTCGAAAAGGCAAAAACACTGTATTATATTAATCTTACAGAGAAAAGAAGAAAATTATTTCATAACCATCTTTCAGATAGAAGTTAACCGCATTACTTCCTTAAAACATGTTTGTCGAACTTGCCAACTGCCAAACAGTCGCTCCTGGAAACTAGTAGACGAATTGCCTCGCCTTACATAAAGAAAGCCTCCTAGATAGCAACTAGACTCTTGAAGCCTTGTGGAACTCCCATAGACTTCAGACCAACAAAGTGTATTCACTGTATGTTATACAGGCCAAAAATACACAATAGCAAAAGAAGACAAGTCTAGTGTTATCCAAAAGGTGAACAAGAGAAACCACGGAAAACATTCTGTGGGACAGAATGGTTTCCTTCTTTATGTCGGTCCGAATGAACATATTCTACTGGTGAAGCGTCAGCATGCATCTTTGTTCATATCAGTGCATATAAAGATAAATGGTGACATGAAGTTGACTAGTAAATATATATATATGTTATTGTACAGCTTGAGAATGATATCGCTGAAAGGAGTAACTCTTCACTAAAGCGATGAAATTGAAAGCAAATAACGATTCCGCGCCTATGGCTTCTAAAATTTTTTTCATGAGCTTACAGTTCATCGGAGACACATTAGCAGAGATATTAAGAAACCGTCTGACATGCTCATTGAGAAAGGCGTTCTATGCTGCCAAACTCAAACTAACTTTCTCCACGTACCCAATGCTTCGATTATGTGCAAAGGATAAGGTAGCTCCCTTGGCCACCTCGATGAGTGATACTTCAGTGAGTTATGATCTTCCCATTGAGAATTAAACCCAGTATCCATCAATTCGAACACCACAGCTTTATTAACTGGGGCATGTGAGTCACCTCACACATCCAGCTGACGAGTCCTAAGGAGGCATTTCTTATTTATTTATTGGTTTGATAAAAACTGGACAGATTTCTTCCTGCAAACGATATTACTATATTGATTTTGTTGATATTTTGCAATGTTATTGATTTGTAGACAAAAAATTACCTAGATTATTTCTTTTTTCTAGCCTAAATGGTGTATAAAATTCCATGTCAAGAAATATACGCGCTTTCCGAACCTTTTCCCTTAAAATAGCTTGTACCACTTTTTTCCCGCTATTTGCACATGATTTTCTTGTACAGCTAACGCATAAATTACGCATTAAATCCTTACAAAGACATTACTTTGTTTATTTTCCCAACTGAATCATAGATTAGAATTTCTTAGGCACAATAATACTTTTGTATTTCGGATTTCCCGTTTCCAACAAGAGACACAACTCCAAACTGATTGGTTGGTAATCGCATTTCAGAAAAAATGACTGTACGAAGAGGAGTGGACAAGGAGACTAAGTACACGTCTTTGAGTTCATTTATACATCTTCGATGTTTTAATTTTTGATTATTTCTCTGAAGAAGTTCTGATCAGACTTCCATATGAAAGGGCAGAATTATTTTATTTCAAATAGGCTGTGACTTACACAAATATAAACGAAATCTAACACCAACCTTTTACTCACTATGTAGTGAGAACTGCCTATAAGAATGTATATGGCGACATGGGAAGTGATACCAACAGACATGTGAGGAATCAGGCAAAAGGAACATAAAATATATCATGACAATATGAAGCGTAAAAAAGTGAGCACAATATCATGCGGAATAAAAGCTAATTTGCAAAGGGACAAATTCTTGCTTCCTATGGAAATTTCATCAATACTAGCCATATTTTGTCATTAAACAATTTAGACTGTACGACGAACTTCTACAAATACTGAATATCTGAAATACTTTTTGGTT